AATACTGCTTGGTGAATGATCACTGAATTAGCGTCGAGCATGTTAATATTCGAGAGAGCAAAACAATGAGATGTGCTCCAACAGTGTTAGCATATTTTGGAGTCGAAGCTTAACTGGCTACCACAAGTTTCTAAGAGCTTGAGAAATCCTCTTTAGTCTTTCCCAGACTTAGTTGCTTGAATATTCAAAATATTCATTGTATTTATACCGTATTCTGCACTGCCTTACTCCTAGAAGCATAGAATAGTCACGCAAAGAGCTTCACGATTTAATGTTAGCATTTTGTTGAGTGCATCTCACGTTTAATATCTGGACCAATGGCTTGCTCGTAAGAAATGCAGTGGTTTTTCATCAGGTAATATTACGGGTAAATGTCATGGGCATCTGAAACTAAGGGATAGCTACTAAGTGCCTAGCTTTTACTGGAAGAAGATTATTACGCTGACATAAGAATCTTAATGTTGCATATATTTACGACGGTGTGGTAGGTCAGACCATTAATGATGAGATTACTATCTTTCTGCCTGATGAAATGACGCGCGAACAGTTTGACATATTTTTTATTGACATAATCACGGGACATAACGCGGAGCCGTTTGAATGCCGTGCAAGGGGCAGTTTCTTTCTGAATGGAAATTTGCTGCTGCATTCAGTTGTATTGCATTTTGAACTCCTCGTTGACATTTGCCTTATTTCAATGGGAGCAAATGGCAAAGTGACATTCTGAAGTAAACGAAAGGACTAATGTTGAACCAGATTTTCTAACAGAACCATCTTCTACTTCATAATCTCCTTATCCGTTGACTGTTCATGTATCTGGAAGACAAGAGAAGCATTCCTTACGCGCAGCTGGCAGACACGTCATTATGTACTGTCTATGCTTCTGTACGTTGTTCAGTCGTTTCGTAGCAACGAACGCGTCCGACCTGGGCAACAGCACTGCTGTGATTACGACGCGGTTGAACAGGTTGAGTGCAAGGACAGTCGTCCTGTTCATGGTGGCATTGCTGGAAGCGATGGAACCGAAATATAACTATTTCTGCCATATGCGCGGTTTCACCTCCTTGTTCCACCATCTGGTTGGCTATATCGGATTCGTTCTTCAAAGTTTTTGAATGGTGTGTGATCGGGAAGGAGCCGGCTTTGGCAGGTGTTTTGCACTCGATGACCGTCAGATAAATCGTGCTTTCCTTACTGCTCAATAAGATTATATCTATATGCTCCAGCCGATAAAGATATCTCATTGCCGGTCATCACTGTTACCAAGGAAAAAGTCGAAAACGTTGAACAAGAAGAACGAAAGCACGTCTTTGGTGAAATTCGGAGATTTTAGAGAACCATTCAGCTTTCCTTCAACCGTATCAGCTGACTTGGTCTATGCATGCATCGTTTCCAAAAGTGTGATCGATGTATTAAGGTATATGATGTATTCCATAACGTTTCATTCAAGAGTTCTGCATCGTTGAATGATGTAGTGAATTAAATGCAGCCTTTAAGTGGAGAAACATGGCTAACCAGAGCGAATGGAATCATTTGCACTGTTCGGGGATTTATAAGCCCTGGCCATATCAGTAGTAACGTGTAAGCTGGCCTGATTTTCATCGTTTCCCATCATGTGCGTGCCTCAGCTTTTGCATGACAGTCCAAGTGAATAGGTTCCCTGACGTTGGCAGTGGTGTGATACTGCGAAAGTTTAGCATTTGGTTCCTCGTGGTTTCATATAGGGATAATCTTTTCACACACTAGTGTGTACGCTGAGGGCGTTGCTGTTCGTCACTAGTGAAAAACGCTGGCCCAAAATAAGAGTTGTTTTTTTTGATTTTTATCTCAGTTTAGCTCAAGCGGTGTATCAGCAAACTGAAGAATAAAGCCGGTATTCTGCGTATCTATACGCCAAATTTATTGTCGCATACTTTTCAGTAGACCAGATGTACCTATGCTGATTTGTCTGACTGTCGCAAGTTCAGTTGGATTTCTCATTATATGCACTTCTGCTTACTTTTCAGTGCTGGGATGGATTACGCGTAAAGTTATTCAGACTTCGACGATGAACGTCTCAAGCCTACAGCAGATGTATCACCGCCATGCTTACGAATTGATCTCAGAGGCGATGTCCCTCGACGAAAAGAACACTGGTAATATAGTTTTAATGATTCGTTTTCGGTTTCCATTCGAATGCGCATTTTTTGTTTTTGGTCTCGCCGACAAGCGAAAAGCGTTGCAGCTATACAAAAAAGGTACCAGCCAACTGAAAAATGGAATCAATCTCGACTTCTCATCGTTGACAGGTAAATTAACCACGTGTGAAAGCTGTACTTTATTGATTCGTTGAGATTTTTATCTTGCTTCCTTGCACTCATTCATGCATGCCTTCTGCCTACTGGGACTTCTCAGTCGATAGAGCGTTATGCTTGGAACTGATAGGTCTCGAGTTCAAGCCCTGTTCAGGGCATTCGTTCTTCTTCCTTTCAAGGTTGAGGAATGGGTATAACTCTGTGAAAAAGAAACAGAAAGCTACCTGTTACGCTTGCCAGATGGCTTTAGACTCTGTTTTTAAAGTGAAACATTCCTGATTGATGGCATAGAAACGGAGATCACCATTGCACCATCTACGTCATAAATAGAAGGGCGCTAAAAGTGGCCCAACCTCGAATGTGATGGACGACCGACTTTGCAACGTGACTAACTTTCCCTTCCTTCCTTCATTCATGCATATGTTTGCTCATTCGTTTATTTTTCCGAGATCGTATATTACAAAACTACAAGGTAGTCTTATCTTTCAGCAAGGATTTAGCAACAAGCATTCAGGTTTCGCTTCCCAGCAATCTGTCAACGACCACTTTGTGTTCATGCACTCAGTCGTTTAATCGATAAACTGACGATTTGTATAAATCATGAAAAATCTGTAATATGGAAGCATTTCTCCATTTTTCTTCATCATTCAGCCTGGTGTCATATGATCAATTCCTACAGTCGGTGGCAATACTTTTCTTAGAAAACCAATGTTTGCTTTTAAGCTCAGCGAATGTCGTTCCTCGTGTTTCCATCGTGTTACTGTTGTAGATAAATTTTCAGTATGCTAGGATAATAGCCTGGTAGTTGTTCGTGACAGCCATTTCACTCACTAAAGATTTAAGATATATTCCGACGTAATATAGTTCCTTCACGCAGAGCCAGTCATCATCATTAGTTTAAATCGGGCGGAGAAATGATTTGTTCCGTCGAAGAAAGAAGAAATCAATACTTTCACAATGTTACGTGGTGGAATAACGCTTACTTAAAGAAAAAACAATGCCAAAAGATGATATGTCCTCCCCCTTCCTCCCAATAATTAAGGCATAATGCAATATAATTCTCATGTTATGCAACACCCTGAAAGGCATGAAACAGATAGGTCGCTCAGCGGCACAATCTTTGCCGAAAAAGGTTAGATTTGAAGGGATCAGAAAAGCTCTGTTCATTCTGGCTGAATGATGATCAGGAAAAATGACATGAACCTAAGCAGTATCTAAGCCTCAACTATTAGTGAAAACTGTGTCGTTGCTTGGCCTCTTATAGTACTAGATTTGATCTCGACGATTTGATTTTTTTTATCAAACCTGTTTTTTATTGTAAAATGACAGCGAGCCACGTATGGTTAGAAAGGTCGAGAATTTTTGTAATACGATCTACATGCGGACCAATACAATTAGAAAGTGAAGACTCCACGTTAGAATTTGAATTCCGGACTAGCTGCACGCATAATTTTTTTCATCTACAAAAAATTATATAAAAGCCATCTGTATCACTGATGTCTGGTTGGTCTGTTCGCATAATCTACGAATCTTTTACGAAGGTACTGAGGAAGAGACTTTTCCAAAAATCGAACTCCGTAAAACCACAGGAGCACCCCGAATTCAGAATTGGATTTGTACAAATGATTATCTTTCGGCGGTATATGAGGTGATTCGGACGAGCAACAAATGTGAACTTTTCGCTGTTGTGAATTCGTCGACTTTCAGTGGGCTTTCGACTCAATTTAAGCGCGATTTGCGTCAGATGCTGTGAGGAGCCGAAGAAACAAGATAACATCAGCGTCTTTATCGCAATGATATTCATTATTGCAGCGGCATGTGTGAAGCTTTGGAAAAGTACGAAGAACTTCAAAATCGAAAACGGCGTCAAGCAGGGTCGAGAGACATATAATGTCCTCTTCGTTATTTTTGAGACATTAATTCGGGTACTCAGTCCTTGACCCTTATACCATAGATGACGATGACAACGGCTTTGACAGTAGTCCTAAGACATTCGACGCTGTTTTAACAATCTACGATTTACCGACAGTATTCTGTTCTTCACAGCGTCCGATGAAAGGTCACACCACCCACCATCAAAGCGGGCTTTAAATTTACTATCAAGAAGACTTAAAAATGACTAACAAATACCTGATTCTATAAAGTGTTGAGAATAATGCTTTTTGATGCTTAACTTTGAATAAGTGCTAAACTTCGCGTGTCTAGAACAGCTAATTTCGGCAACAGAAATCAACTGTAGAAAAGGACAGAGCAATGAAAATGGTAGGAGTCATTTTTTAAGATTGAAGATGTTCCTGTCCCAGAAACTATGCTTGTGCTTATAAAGGAGTATATTCGGTGAGTATGTTGACGCCTCGATGCGAAACATGAACCATAAGCACGAAAGCTTTTAAGGAACGTCACAACGTAGCATATAATGATCTTTGTTGAGGATGATGGCACAGAGGGGGTTTACACGATATCATTGCAAGAGCGATTAAATTGAAATTT